GTACCGCAGAGGTAGGCAGGGGTCCCACGGCCCTGGTGTCCCTGCACCAGGGGGACACGGCGGAACGGGGGGGGCTGGGGCACTCGCTCCGGGTGCTCTGCCGGCCCCAGGGGGCGCGCAGAGCCTCCCCCCCCCCGGGTCTGTGCCTCGGTTTCCCTGGTACGTGCACACAGCCCCACGCATGCCTTCCCTGCCAGATCCCTCTCACAGCACGTGCCTGACAGACGCCTGTGTCCGGGTGGCCAGCAAGATCCTGGAGGCCCTGGACACAGAGACGGACCCGTGCCAGGACTTCTACCAGTACTCGTGCGGGGGCTGGATCAAGAGGAACCCACTGCCCAATGGACGCTCTAAGTGGAGCACCTTCAACAGCATCTGGGACCAGAACCAGGCCATCATGAAGCACCTCCTAGGTGGGCACCACGGGTGGGGTGCGTCACAGCTACAGGGGGGGTGACCTCCGGGCACAGGCGGAAAGAGCCCTGGCGTCCCCGGGGCTGACCCACAGCCTCCCGCAGAGAATGCCACCTTCAACTCCAGCAGCGAGGCAGAGCGCAAGACGCAGCGGTACTACCTGTCCTGCCTCAAGGAGCAGAGGATAGAGGAGCTGGGCTCCCAGCCCCTGGTGGAGCTCATCGACAAGGTGGGCAACCATCCACACATGAGCCGAGCTGTCAGGGCTCAGCCCAGCAAGTCTCCCACTCGGCTCCTCGTGCAGCTGGAGAGAGGGCAGCCCTCGGGGATGGGCTCCGTCCCTCCCTGAGGCACCGGGTCCATCTGCTGGCAGATCGGGGGGTGGAACGTCACTGGTCCCTGGAACCAGACCAGCTTCATGGAGGTACTCAAGATGGTGTCAGGCACGTACCGGGCAACTCCCTTCTTCACGGTGTACGTGGGTGCAGACTCCAAGAGCTCCAACAGCAATGTCATCCAGGTTGGCACCAGGGCACCGTGGGGCAGTGGGCACCCAGGGGACATCGGGGTGCCCATGCTGCCCCTCTCTCCTCCCAGGTGGACCAGTCGGGGCTTTTCCTCCCATCCCGGGATTACTACCTGAACAAGACTGCCAATGAGAGGGTGAGACTGAGTGCTGGGCACACTGACAGCAGCAGCTGGGGGAAACCCACCACAACGGGGTGCGAGCAGCACTGGGGGACACCTGGCACCTGCACCCTGCCCATTGCATGGCATGGTGCCCAGGCATCGGTTTGGAACCACCCGGGGAAGTGGGATGAGCTGCAGCTGGTGCTGAGCCAGGGCTTGGTGTCCCACCAGGTCCTGGCAGCATACTTGGACTACATGGTGGAGCTGGGCACGCTGCTGGGGGGAGCCCCGGAGCCCACCCGTCTCCAGATGCAGGAGGTGCTGGACTTTGAAACCCAGCTGGCCAACATCACTGTGCCCCAGGCTGAGCGGCGGGACGACGAGAAGATCTACCACAAGATGAACATCGCTGAGCTGCAGGTGTGCACAGCCTGGTGCAGCCTGGGGAAACCCTGTGGGGATGCGAGGGGGTTGTCCACTGCAACACCGAGGGGTTTCTGTCCCCCACTCCAGCAGGACTCTCTGGGCAGTCCCATCCCTTCTGGGACATGCACTGGGTGTTGGAGTGAGGTGCTCATCCCCTTGGTCGTTAGGATTTGAGGGGAGCTGCCCCCCTGAGGGGGGGCGGTTCTGGGGTCCCCTCTTTGTTCTACAGCATTGAGAGCAACAAGGAGCCATGGGAAGAGTGCTTGGGGGCAGAGAAGGGATCTGGGCTAATGATGAACCTTGGGACCTTCTTGGGGAGCGCAGCCCCTGCCCCAGGGGATCCTCCTGTGCCAGGCAGCATGGGGCAGAGCTGTGCCCATGTCCCTGTGTCGCCTCCAGGCCCTGGCCCCTGCCATTGACTGGCTGGACTACCTGTCCTATGCCCTGGCCCCTCTGGAGCTAGCGGACACAGAGCCCGTGGTGGTGTACGGGGACACCTACCTCCAGCAGGTCTCTGACCTCATCAACGGCACTGACAGGAGGTGAGGTGCCCGTGAGCCCTGGGCCATTGCCCCCGTGGCAGGGGCACATTGTGGGCTCACTGGTGGCTCAGAGGCCAGGGCATCCCCATGGCTTGTGGTGAGCCACAGCATCCCTCTGCCCTGGTAGCGTGCTGAACAACTACCTGATCTGGAACCTGGTGCAGAAGACTGCCTCCAGCCTGGACCAGCGCTTTGAGACAGCCCAGGAGAGGCTGCTGGAGACGCTCTATGGCACCAAAAAGGTAACAGGGGACCCCAGGACCAGCCCCCTCCACCCCCAGCCTGGAAGCAGCCAGTCCTACCTCTGCCCTTGGGATGCCCTTGGGATGCTGAGCTCTGGATGCTGAGCTCTGGATGCTGCAGAGAATCCAGGGATCGGCTTTTGGGATGGGGCTTTAGCTGCTGAGCATCTCCCCCCTGCGGAGGGAGCAGAGCTGGGCTGGGGGAAGAAAGTGGGACAGGGAGTCTCACAGACCCCCCCCATCTCACTCCCGCAGTCCTGCACACCCCGCTGGCAAACCTGCATCTCCAACACGGACGACACGCTGGGCTTTGCCCTGGGCTCCCTCTTCGTCAAAGCCACCTTTGACCGGGACAGCAAGGCCATCGTGAGGATGCTTCTACCCTTTCCCCTCCCCATCACTGGCCACAGAAGTGCCCCTTTTCCCCCTCAAACCCCAGGGCTGGAAGGTGGGAAGCAGGGAAATAGGACCCCCAACCTTGGGAAGGTCACATCCTGCCCACCCTGTCCCAGCTAGAGGGGCTGCAAGAGGCAGGGGGGCTTCATTCCCTCCCCTCCCCAGGCTGAGGAGATGATCAGCGAGATTCGAGCGGCCTTTGAGGTGTCCCTGGACCAACTGGACTGGATGGATGAGAAGACCAGGCAGGCTGCAAAGGAGAAGGTGACCTCGCGGAGGACAGCAGGCAGAAGACCTCCCCTTGTCCTGGTAAGCCACCCCCACCCCCTCTCACTGCCAGGGCCTTTCCCCATGCAGGCGGATGCCATCTACGACATGATCGGCTTCCCTGACTTCATCCTGGACAACAAGGAGCTGGACGATGTCTATGATGGGGTAGGGGGACACCCAGCTCGTGGGGAGGGCGTCTGGTCCCTGTTTATGTCAAGCCCGGGGGGGCCCCATGGTGAGGTGATGTCCCTATCTGAGGGACCCATTTGGGACAGGGTGTTACGCGGAGCCACCTTGCTACCGAGCACATCCTGGCCCAGGTGAGAAGAACCACCTTGGTGGACACCTCCTCATCCCTCCTCTCTCTCACCAGTATGAGGTCTCGGAGGACTCCTTTTTCCAGAACATGCTCAATTTCTACAACTTCTCCGCCAAAGTGATGGCCGACCAGCTCCGGAAACCCCCCAACCGCGACCAGTAAGGGGGAGAGCCCGGCGAGGGGTGGAGGATGCGACACCTACACAGTGTCCCACCTCCCACAGCAGCACGGCCTAGGGAGCATCAGTTCCCCGGGAGTAAGGTCCCCCCATGGGGTGGCACAGTGTTGTGGGTCACCCGTGGTGGCTTTGGCTTGTCCCTGGGACAGGGTCCCTTGGTCACTGGGGGGAGCAGCAGTGCCAGCCCCAGGCAAGGCAGCACCACACAGGCGGTGGGAGATGGCACAGGAGGGTGTCGGGGCAGGGGTAGAGGGGACACATTGCTGCCTATGCCCTGCCCAGGTGGAGCATGACCCCGCAGACCGTCAACGCCTACTACCTGCCCACCAAGAACGGGATCGTCTTCCCTGCTGGCATCCTGCAGGCCCCCTTCTACGCCCACAACCACCCCAAGTGAGCCCGGCGTGGGGATGGAGTCATCTTCTGGGGGTGGGGGACACCTCCTGGGTCAGAGTCAGCAGCCCGCAGAGCCCCTCACAGCCACAAAGCAAAGCCCCGAGGGGCCTGAGGGTCAGTTCCTCAAGGCTTTACCTCCTGCAGCCAAGACAGCCTGCCAATTCCCCATGGGGGCACCGGTGTCCGCAACAGGACTCATTCCCAGCTGGGGGCAAACCAGAGCAGAGTCTTACTGGGTGCCCTGGCCACAGCTGGGGTGCCCAGGCCGTGGAGGGGGTGCCCAGGCTGCAGCGGCACCATGCCCCCACACTTACCCATCTCTCTCCCGCGGCCTCACAGAGCCCTTAATTTCGGCGGCATCGGCGTGGTGATGGGGCATGAGCTGACCCACGCGTTTGATGACCAAGGTGAGAGCCTGTGGGCAGCAC